GTGTTTTTCCCCATGCTGCCCCTGTGCGCTCTTTCGATGGAATTTTTACTTTTAAAAATATTAATAAATGGATCAAATGTGAGATCCATTTCGGTGTGAGACCTGGGGTATGGCTGTGGACCCAGAGCTGGGTGGCTGCGGGTTTGAATCTTGCCGAAACGCTCCGCGTGTCTTTTGATTTAAGTCTTATCGACAGTAACGCATCGAGAAGTTAATAGGAGTGGGAAGCGAAGGGGTGTGGCTCTATAGTGTGGAGGGTAAAAACTGTAGACTCACGAGTTCAAACCCGGGCTGTGCCCCTGTGATTTGTTTTCGCTTGAATTACTATTCCTAACACTAATAAGCGAAGATTTAAGGGTTAAGAGTGGCTCTACAGAGTAAGAGGGTTTAGGATCTGGGTTAAATATTGTTCTATCTCTGCTACAGGACATAGCAGATAGCAGTTCACCCCATCGAGAGTGAACAGTCATGTTTCTTGTCTCTCAATGTGTCCACTCAGCAGACAAATGGAAGAAAAAAAACAGCAGGTGTTTTTTTTCCTGTTTTCACAGATCATTCTTTTTCATTTTTTAGTCCTATCAGTTGGCCCAAAGTGCCTGTAGGGGTAGGCCTCGTCCTAGGTGTCGACTAGCTTGCATAAAAATCTGGGACAAATCGATTAATCTTAAAAAAAAATAAAAATAATTCTGTATTGTTTTTTTGTGAAGACTGGACTGGAAATTTCTCACGTGACGAACTGTGAGCGATCTGCGCTTCACAACCACTAAACGTGAGCAGAAACATACCCCTGCGAAAATGTTTATAAAGAATCGAAAACACTTCAGACAGTTCACATTCTCATTCACTAAATCCGAGCATCCACTCCACTGGAAAAATAAAATCTCGCCTTAATTTATTCATCACAAACATGACATAGCGTTTCAAGCGATGTTTACCTTACAGTGTGCTTACAGAAGTTCACAGATTGGAGGGGAGCGACTGTGCTTTTTCTTCTAAGACACGAAAACCCGGTTGAACCCTAATATTGCAAAAAAATTCTGACACCTGAACTGTATACGATGTCCAGCAGTCTGACTCAGTTCAATTCAAGTTACTTTATTAACCTGACCGATGGGAATAATCAGTGTTGCCAAAGCACATAAAAT